GGGGAATCAGAGCCAGTCGCAGTAGTCGTTGTGGAACCCATTACAATGACCTCTGTGGGTTGGGTAGCCTCAATAGCACAAACCATAGCGGCAGATGTTGAATCGTAAGAAGGGTCAAACATTGTTTTGTCTATGAATAGAATAATGATTAAGCAGTAAGGAGAGTTCGCACGTAATTCCAGGGATGCCCCGAAGGAACCAACATTGTGGGGTGTAGCGCATTGTAGAGGTCGAATGTGGAGACTTTTCAGGAACATCAACTGTTATTTTTTGCTAACAGAACACAAAAAAATTTTTGGATTTTGCTTGGAAAAAGGAAAATTTCGGCGATTGAGAAAGTATAGCGTATCCGAGATCCCCGGTCGGACCGTTCAGGAGTTACTCTATAACTTTATGTGATATTTTGTATCTTTTCTCGATGATTCCAGTGATGAAGAAAAACGTACTTTATAGAGAGTTTGTTGGCAAAACTGCTACGTAGATCGGAAATAGTCCAACGGATTTATCAAAATATAGGTCTCCCTGACGTGAGAGTCACAATCTGACAACTTCTTATAAGCGAAGTTCGTCGGATCCGGCCGAACTAACCAGATGAAAGGTATACTCCCTTAAAAATCATCATCTTCCAGACAGGGTTTCTAAAAGAATACATTGCTCTATATCTTGCAGCAATGAGAAAAACAAATTGACAAAATTATTCTCAGTACCTCCCTACAAAAAAGCCCTGCCTACTGTTGTTTTCTAATCCACATATGCTGCGTCCTTTGATATGCTATGGAAGCATGAATGGAGATACTTGGCGAGTTTTTTGACGTTTAATCAATCAGTCCGACAGTGTACCTCTTCCTGTATCTCTTAACAAGCATGTCCTTTTTTCTCTACATCTAGTAGCCGAAGTGCTCATCAGTTCGTAACATTGGCTTTCATCATCCGCTCGTTATTTAGGTCCATCTGATTAACTTATATAAGGTTTTAAACTGTTAGATTCCACATTCTTTATCATTCTTATACATATTTTCTTGTGTAGCTTCCTTTGCATCAGCCTCTCGATCGCTGGCGTAATAGGTAGTGTCCTCTTTACATTCAACTCAGGGTTCCGCATGGAATGCGCTCGAGTAAACAAAGATAACATCTCTATCAAAAAATGTATTGTCTTCAAAAAAATAGCTTTTTTGTCGAAGAAGTTTGTTCCATAGGACGATGGAGCGGGATGGTACCGTTTTCGTTCCATGGAGCAGGAATATCTTCCAAATTTTGCTGTTACAGCCAACTCTACGGAACACAACTTTCATGGAAACGTCCTATGGGATGAGATCGTTCCACTCTATGCGAAGTCCTGTTGCAGATATCATTTTAGTTACTCTCAAGAAATTTCAACTACCACCCTTCGATCCTTTCCAAGGAAGTTTTAAAAATTTATAAGTATAGTTTTGAACTACTTCTCGAAAACTTAGAATGACCATCGCCATGTAATCTAGAGAACGTTACAGATGTAACTCTGAGGTAGATCGTCAAAGGTTACAAATATCAGCTCGAGGAAATTCCCAACACGTTTGCAGTCGTCTGGTGTATTGTTTTCTTTATGCATTTAGTGCTTTTCAGAAGATGTACAAAGTAATACTTCATTTATGAATAACAGTCATGTTCTAGCTATATCAGCTCTTTCCATCTATACTATACTATATCTGTTTTGTTATTATTTTACTATAATACTAATTTATTATTCATCATTACATTGTTAATTCCTATCAACTATTATCGATGATGAGTTATATTCGCGAGTAAACTATAACAGAGTTACAAGAAGTCAATTTATATTCTGTCAACAAAAGCCACAACAAGTGTTATAATTATTAAAATAAAGAGAAAAAACAAATGACTTACTAATGAATTATGATGAGTACAAAAAGTAACAACAGCTATTATCAATTACTCGGTATTTCTAATAAAAAGCAATACAATTGTGCCGCTTCTGATATATATCTATTTGAGAAATTTTCCAAGTAACCGTCAGACGCAATAATCACTTTAAAACATGACTCAAAGTACAATATTGGTATCTTCGCTTTTCGCAATGGATATGAGTCAACACAAACACAATACACGTTTTCAGATGAATCAGCAGTAAATATTGAGAAGAGAAAGAAATCTGTGCTGGTATGTGATCGATCAGATTGCGATTGAAAAAAAAACAAAAAAAAATGCAAAGCAGGAGAACAAGAGGGACAGGTGCCTGCGAAGAAATTTCTTCGTAATACACAGGGGGTTTGTGGATGTGGATGCGGGTGAGTGTGGGTGTGTGGGTGTGGGTGCGGGTGTGCGTGTGGGTGTGTGTTAAAGAAAGGGCAACACTCACTACCACACTCACAACCACACACTCCACACCAGATCCATAAATAAACACCCCCACCCCACACACACAGGAGGGTGTGGGTGTGGGATGTAGAATGTGGTTTTAGTGTCGGTGAGAGTATGAGTGCGGATGATAACAGTAACAGCTACCCCCACGGCGCACACCCGCGCGCACCACACCCCAGACGCACACCACACCACACACCCACACCCACACCCACGCCCACACCCCACACCCACACCCCACACCCACACCCACACCTCACATCAACACCGCACACCCACCCACACCCCACACCCACCCACACCCACACCCACACCCACACCCACACCCACA